GAAGAGAAAGAGAAATTATAATTATTCATCTATGACCCTTACAAGTGTATCACTAGTACTTCCTTGCTGTAACATCACAGTGATCTTTTTTTCAGACCTACATCCGTATCTTTATATTTTTTTAAAATTTCCTACCCCACCCTCCTCAATCAATTACAAGCACCAAAGGCACACCTCCTTATGGGGAGTTAGGGGGCATAAATACAATACCCAAATATCTGGATTCCATATTAGTTTAAAGACACCTACCACTAGAATCTTTAAGTTTGGTGGCCTCTCCCCGCCAGATGTCTAGGTCAGACCTTCGCAGTTCCCTGGAGACTAAAGAATAGAACTCCAGGGTGGGACCCAGACCAGTTCCTACCTGAAACAATATAAATACCAAACTATTAAATTTTATTTTTAGTTAAGTTTTAAGTGATAAGAATCACATACTTTGAAGCAAAAAATTCTGAATCCTTATACATGATAGACAAACATATAACCATAGAAGTAGAGAAACTACTTCTATGATATAACCAAGAACAGCAGCCAAGAGAAAGTGTGATCACTGCCTATTATGCTGAAGTGACTCTTAGCCCAACTTTACCTCGTTTTCATACTGTATTTCCAGCAGTGCTTTACTATTGCCCATTTCTTCCATCACCTTCTCTGCTTGCTTCAAGAGATCATCACGAGAGACAACACGCTGGAGAGAAAAGTGAGAATCGCATTATCTTGTATCAAATACGAATATTTAGGATCATATTATTATTTTCATTTAAATGAGCTTCAAGGCCTTCTCCTCATGCTTACTGTGACTTAAGCATTAACCCTTTCTCAAATGCCAGTAAAATTGAAGCTGGGCCAGTGAAAATTTGTAGTTACAGATAACTATTCCTAGATTCTGGAGTTCCTAGAGCCATTGGGCCAGGTTTCTTGCCTGAACAGATTGCTCAGTATTTGACAAAGATCTATTATGTGAAAATCTTATCAGAATCTACACTATTCCCACTGCCCTTTAAGACTACAACTGACAATCACTTACTTTCCTCCTGTCTAATCTAGGTGCCACTCTCTCACTGGTGTCATTGTTCGCAGCGTCCTGAGTGGCGTCTTGCAGGCGCATCATGGCACGATCACGATCAAACGCCGTTGCATAGAATAACATCTGCCTCGTATCAAAGGGGAAGAGGAAAGGGCTGGAGAGAGTGAAGTATAGAAAAATACAGTAGGAGAGCTGGCGTAATGCCGAAAATTGCTTTTTCTCCCTCTCTCACCATCGAAGTCATAACGCACATGCAATGTCTACCAAATACACGTCTCTTTCTCTCTCTTTATCTTATGCCAACAAAATTTCAGTGGTACAATAAAATCCTAAGCTGGCAAAAACCTCACTCACCATGCTGCAGCAATCTCAGGCAGCCACTGGGGGAGGTTTCCTGTCATTATTACTAGAGGGTCCTGTAGCTGGCGGTTGGCCTTGGCTATCAGTTTACTACTGGAGAACTCCAGACTGGACACTAGGGGATCATAACTGCTGGTCTGATAGGAATATACAAGGTAGTGAAAGATTAACTTTTACTGAGTAAAAGTGAAAATCAGTACAGGTATACTTCCCTGCTGGGATCTGATAAAATGTAAGCACTTAGAGCTGAAATATGTTATTAGTAATAGCTTATATTGAATGACGAGGATTCAAAGTAAGTCTGACCTTCAGGGCCAGAAAATTTTTTTAAGTTACACAAATATTGAATGTACAAAGTATCCATTTCCAAAGATCTGTTATTCTAAAGAGACAAAGTCATGTGGATTTTGTTTTGTGCAGTTGCGTGCCTATGCATGCGTGCCTGCCACATGACACACTATACCTCATAGAGCGCCCCCCAGTAAATATTGATGGCGTGTAGCACTCTGAGCAGGGCCAGCACCTCCAGGGACGGGTCCTGGACCAGCACACTGTCTGGAAGGCTGGGGGATAGGTATCTGTCCAGTGGTAACACTACAGGAGGACACTGACCACCTGGAACACAAATACATACTATTTAGACCAAGTCCTGGACCAACACACTGTCTGGGAGGCTGGGGGACAGGTATCTGTCCAGGGCTAACACTACAGGAGGACATTGACCACCTGGAACACAGACACACAAATTGTACAGTTAGTTAGACCAAGATTACTATTACACTCTGAATCACCACAGATGGAATCCTGGGGAGTTTGTCAGTAACTTGTATACACTAATATGACAATACTGAACAAAAATATCTTATCATCAATAGCTTAAATTAAATATCCAAGATTTATGTACACACCAAATTCAATTCATGAGAGAGAGAGAGAGAGAGAGAGAGAGAGAGAAGGAGGTGGTAGAGGAAGGGAGCAAGTCATTTCCATTCACTCACCAAGCCACAGGTCATCTCCCTTCTTCCCTTTGGGCGAGGCCTTGTGACTCTTCCCCTCTGCCTTGGTTTTCTTTGGACTAGTAGGCTGAGATGCATTGGTGTCCTCTTCTGGCGCTGGCCTATACCTGGATAACAGAACAAACAGTGGTCAAATACTGTTTTATATAAACATCTACACTTTATTTCCTCAAATTCTAAATGTCTGCACAAATAGATACAAGGGCAGCGTTCTACAATTCCCCTCATCTGTTAAGCTTAATACTGTCTGCTTCTTTAAGATAAAGAATCAAAGATTATGAAGCCGACAGGTTCTCAGGTCTGGCTAAGCAAAACAAAGTAAAACCAGTTAAAAACTGTCAGGATGTTTCTCGGGTGTTTTCTTTAAAGTTAGCTTCTTACAAGGTTCTGGCCTTTTAGATGTAAGTGTGAAAGCCACAAACCTAACACCTACCATATTGTATGTGTCTGCACCCATATGCCAGCGTGTCCAAAAGGATTTTCTGTGTCAGTGTCCGTCTCACTGCCGTCCCTTCCTTCCAGTGATCCATACTGTTTAATAGCCTGGTACACGGTCCAGTTATAGGGCAGTACCCGGTCTCCCATCAGGAACTCCAGCTTGTGTCTGCCAGTGCCTTGGGTCAAAAACACTGCCGCCTGGAATTCAGAACACATTACATATATAATAAGGTAGAACCTGAAGAACATTGAAAGTTACCTGCTGCAAAAAGTTTCTAAAATTTTTCAAATGTGAGAGGTTTTCCTTACCCTGGTGTCATCTAAGTCGTCATCAGAGTTCTCATCATCACTGTTTTCGTCATCAGCATCCTGTAATAACGAAATACATGATCTGAACAAGTGTGATTTATCTCGCTTATTCAAATTAAGGTATAAATTGAGTAAATATTTATATTATTTCCATTCATTTGTCTGTTATGCTAAGTGTTTAAATGGGCTCTATGAACTTTGCCATTTTCCAGTGTAACACTGTGTTAATAATGAGTTAGATGTAACAGTGTGTCAGCAGCTCCCCTTACAGGTCTTATCCTCCCATAGCCTCTCATGACTAGATATCTCTCTATTGCCTGCACTAGCGCCAGGGGGTCAATCTTCACAGGACCTCCACGCCACTGGCGCAGGTTGGTGCAGGCAGGATGGCGAACTAGGTTACACTGAAATCAGAATAACAGACATGAAATGAAAAGGAGAACCAAGAACAATTAGAACATCTTATAAAATTAGGTCTTTACAATGTACATACACAATACAGAATTCTTTCAAAAATATACCCAGATTTAATAGCTTAAGGACAATCCAAAGTGTTAACTAAGAATAAACATGTTACATTACCATACATTCAAGAAAATATTTCTGCATACAAATTTCTGATACAACAGAACATTCACTTCAAAGTTAATCCAAATACTTGAACCATTAAAGGAGGGAGGGGGTATTTTATTTGTAACAAAAACTGCATATACCTTGAGCTGGTGAGTATTGAAGAATTTGATAGCACTGGATCCTCTGCTGTTGCCAGTACCTCCTCCAGGGAGGTCATGAACTTTGACCTGGAACTACAACAACAACCAAGGTTAAATAAATAATTTGGCCTTGAACCTAAAACATTATAACAGCTTTAGCAAACCTCTTTCTTAAGCTAATCAACAACAACAACAGCCAAATCTAGAAGAATGATTTGACCTTGTAGCAAAATATGATGTCATAATTTAGGCACTCGTCTTTCTTTACCTTATCAACAAGAACAACAGCCAAATTGCAATAAAGCCATTGTATAGTTTTCTGCACTCATCTTTATTTCCAACAACCTTTTTACAGTATACAATATAATAAATTCTATCAAAGACGTGTGAATCAACTCCACCTACCTGCTCAAGCTGGTGTAGGCAGCCCACTAACTTGCTGATCAGAGGAGAGAAGGGAGGGTTCTCTGAGAACTCAACCTGGGAGACAGTGGTGACATCTGGAGGCTGGAATAAAGCAACACGTGGCTTGTTGACATTATAGAAAAGTTTCAGTCCAAACTATTGGGTATTCTGATCATATATCTCAACCAAGGAGATGCTACATATGAAAGTACAAATATTTAGAAAATGAGTTTCTCTCAGGATAAAGAACTTCAAGATTAAATCACTGATTCAAATGTACTTACTGGACAGTTGAGGAAGACGTGTAGAAATCTCCTGATCTTCACTTCCCTGGACACCACCCCATGTGCCGAGGAGATATACTTGAGCAGCTTGCCCACAAACCCACTGTGGATGATCTCAAAGGGGGACACATCGCTGTCCTTCATGATAGTAGATAGCACCTGTAGACACTCCAGACCTGCATCCTCCTCCTGGGAATACAGTCAAACAAAGTGATAGACATAACATATCTACTGGGAATTGCCTATTAATCTGATACTGGAACTGACATTATCAATTAATGGATGATGACAACAGATCAAGTGCCCAGTCCATCCAGGTCATTATCTAGTGAACGGTCTCAGGTCGAGATGCAACGTCAGCCAGTTGCTTATGTAAGCTCCAGTATCAGAGTTATACATAATTCTCATTCCAATTCAACTGGATGACTAAAAACATTCATTCATATACCTATCAACTGTTTAACAAGTTATTTACAATAGGAGTACAACTAAACACATGGAAAATAGGTCGTAGTTATGTACAGAACACCACTAAAAGTTTTGTAGAGTTGGCAACTGAACTTGATATTCAACAGACTGGTTGATAGCAACACCTCTTTCTCCTTATTCACCCCTAAAGAGCTCCTTTGGACTAGATACAGAAAAAACTGGGTGATGTAATTTTCAAGGACATGTTCATGGAAACAAATAATTGAGGTTTTTATTTCAATCATAGGAAAGTTGAGTTCACAAGTTTTTCTTTAAGATGAAATTCTGGGGTTCTTTTTTTCTGGCTTTTTTTCCCTTACCAGATTAGCCAGTTGTTCTGTGGCCACTGACAACCTCTTCAGTACATCCATGGCTGGATGACTGCTACCCTGAGTCTCATCACTGAAGTACTGCTCTATGAAACGGGCAGCTAGAATGAAGTAAATCAACAAATGACCTATGTGAAATAGGGTGTGAAAAAGGGCATTTATAGGAGTAGGAAGCTGGAATAAGGAATGAACTATGGCAAATTTTGGGGTTTCTAATTCACTGCAGATAACAATTCACTTTGTATTGTTTTAGTTACTGTAGTAGCACATGAACAATGTCAGATACTCATGGCTTTAAAATCCCCATAGCACCCCTGTATAAACTATTAACTTTCCAGTCACCTTGTTCTCTGATCCAGGTCTTCACCTTCTCCCTGTTGGACACCAGGTTAGGGTTGCTGGTGGACTTCACTATGAAGGTTTCCTGCTGGTGGACAATGATCTTAAATTTAGAGGAAATGTGCAGTAACACTACCCAAAGCTTTAAGTCCAATGCTTGCCAACTCTTATTAAAAATCTCTACTTATTTGTACTTATCAGACTGTGACCTTAAGCCAGGTTTATAGATGAAGTTTACTGCATCAACCACAAATAAAAGCACATGTCACGATGTCATGGTTTCACAGAATGGAATAGCATGCAATTTAAAGACTAACATGTTGTTCAAGTTAATATCAGGCAATCCAGTAAGAATGGAAATTTGAAAATGAAAAATCTGGCCTACAACAGCGCGTAACTTGGACTAAGTGATTAACACATTTTAAAGCTAATTGCAATATTTCTTGATGCGATTCTTGATAATATTCCAAAGAATACAAAGTAAAATCAGATCTAAGAAGCACAAATCAACTTAAAGTGGAATTCTTACCCTTGTAGAGACAGGTCTCTCTGGGGTGGCGCTGGTACTGGCCCTCCCCCACCTGGCTGGGTTCAGGTTGGCTAAAAAGGAACTCTTTGGTGTGGCTCCTCCAGACTTGCTGGTGTCTTTTCCTACAATAATTTGGAACGATTTAAACCTTAAATTCAAGTACCACATCCTTTATTTATTTGACTTTGACCCATGGAAAAAGCTCAAGTCTGAATAGAAATGCAATGTCAAGCTGTACACTCATTTCGCAGTAAAAGAATAATGTACACTTTCGGCTCTCTTTACCTGTTTTTCCTCTACTGGAAGGAGTGGGTCTGTTATTACTGCCCCCTCCTCCACCACCTCCCAGTCTGGCAAACACAGTTTCCATAGCACTTGGACTTTCATCTGTCTTCCCACTACTGCTGCTGCGGGAACTACGTGATGACCGCTTTGGGGGCTTCTTTCTCTTTAACACATCACTCAGCCTCCTGCAATAACAAAGCAGTGTTTTTGTAAATATAATTTTTCTTCTTACACTGAATGCAATGAAAAGAAAGTCTGGTAAATTTTCACTATTAGCTGAGAATCCCAGACAGATATTTTTACTAAATTTCTTTAGAAGGAAAATGTGACATTTACATGTGAGGGCCTTTCACTGAACAAATTCTCTGAAGTATAAATTTCAATGGAAATGTGATAGCAGTAATATTGGATAAAAATAAAGATGCACCTATCTTCTGGATGAAATCTATACAAATATCACCAGAAAAGGGTGCATATTCAGTCAGTTCACTTACATCTGTGACGACCCAGGACTCCTGTCCAACGCCGCCTCTGGAGTAGCAGCAGTGGCTCCCCCTGCCACAGTGTTTGGCGTGGTGGAGTTATTATCCAGGTCCACTTTTTCCAGACTGCTGCCCAGACTGCTGCTGACACTGGTGGCGGCTGCCCTCAGTTCCTCCCTGGAGGTCTGGGACACAGGGGTGCTGGCAGAATCTGTGGACTTCTGGGGGGAGGGCTCCCAGTTGGCAGGGTCTGCCAGTCTCTTCACTTGATGCATCACTCCTAATACAGGTGAACAATTTTGTTATTAATAGCAGACACACAGGTGCGTGTGCACTTCAGAGTACTTGCATGTTTTTTTAAAAATTGGATGTGGTGATGGGAGAAGGGGGACGGTGGACGGTGGATAAATAGGCATTTAAGCATACACAGGGATGACTCCCTCATTAAGAGTAAAAGATTTTCCTATACTTTTCTTTTTTAATGGGGGGAAAGAGGGGGGAAAGAGGGGGAGATGTACACTTACAGTGGGAAGGCTCCTAAGTTGGTCTGAAATTAAGCTTTTCTTTCTAATATACAAACAACCCAAAGGGGGGGGAAGGGGGTGGCAGCAGAACTAATTATGGGAAAAGTTACAAGGGTTCTCAGACTATGGTTTCTCAGACATGGCTACTCACCCTCTCTCCTAAAATAAATGCCAAATATATTTGCCAGCTTCTGCATCAGGATTTCAGCCATCTGCATGGCTCCCACCACCACTTTGAGGTCCTGGGACGCCAACATGGCAGCAATGTGACTGAAACAACAACAATACATGTAGTGCATTGTCTTTCAACAATGTGACTGAAACAACAATACAGGTATAACAGTTTTCTAATTTCTTCTTCATATCAACTGTATCATTTAACTGCTCTATGTTAGAACACAATGTAGAAATCTGGGTGGGGTTACTCCATTTCAGGAGCTCAAATGCTCCAATCAAAATTAATCTGGTTAATTGGTAATGTCAATCTAAGGGGTTCCATTAGGCGACTCCTTTACATTACAGCCAGGCTATCAAGAAACTGGTCTTATTCTACACAATACATAGACCAACATCTGTGAATAAGCCACTTCAACATCAGGAAATGAGACTATTATTGAATATTTCATGGGATACAAGCTACCTTGACACAGCATGGTTCTGAAGGACATCTTTGAGCAATTCAGGAGTGGCGTAGTACACCATTCTAAGGATGGCCTGCAGGCACTTGTGGCGTACAGCTGGACCAGCCTGGAATACATACATATACGTACTGGATACACAAGACTCACATCTCAAATTTAGTAATTAATATCAGTAACAAGGTGATACTCTCCATGCTGTTAAATATTTAACCCCCCCCCTCTTCCTTACTCTCCCTGTCAAGCAGAAAATCTGCCACAGCAATGCTGAAATACTGACGCTAAAACACTGATGCCACTAAATGATCAAATAAATTTTTTGAATAACTGAAACTAAGGATGTTTAAAAACTGGTGCTGAATACAACTGTTAAGCCCAATCCTTTACTGCTCTGTCAGATACACACTTAGATATATACATTTTAAACTGTACTTACAGATGAGCTGTAGACTTCATACAGCACTGCAAACAAGGCCTTGATGAATGAGGAGGCAAGATCCATGTCCTCCTTTAGGATCTCTGCTCGCGAATCACTCCGAACCACGCCACAGTTGTTGCTGGCTGCAATGAAAAAAATTTCACGTTATGATAACAGAGGTCCAAATCTACAACTTAGAGAAAATGCACTCACTAAAGCACACTGTTCACAAACAATGCTTACCTGCGGCAGAGCCGTGAGCTGCAAGTGGATTCAGTTTTCGCTGTACTGGGCGTGAAGTCCCCGTGTCTTCGTTGATCTGCTGCATCGAGTTGAAATCTATGGAGTAGTTCCTACCCATAGTGGACAGGCTGACCTCATCTTCCCCGGACTGATGGGAGGCCTGGAATAGAATGTTATACAAGATTTTATTCAGTACAACAAGACAGCGAAGCAGGATCCAAGAACAAAAACATTAAATTTAATGTCCTAGGGTCCTCAACAATTTTGTTGGTACTACCTAAATTCTACTGAATTCACTGTAAAAATTGACATGCATCTCACTGCTTTATACACCATTATTTCTCTACTAAATAGTGTAGGTCTACAACAGCTTCCTACTTCACCAAGTCTTACAAACAAGACCAAAATGACCAGCCTGGAAAACCCCTCCACACCTGTGCCTAGATCCCCTTACCTCTATAATTCTGCTGTCTATCAGGGAGTAAGGGTGCCATATCCCTCTGTCGTCCCTCCACTGCCATATGACGGCGTCTGTATTCGTTGTGCAGCCTTTCCTCAGCAGGGAGTCCACAGAAAACACGCCATCATTCGGTAAGCTGGGCATCAGCTCCCTGGAATGTCAATTCTATATTATAACATACAATAACATATTAAGGAAATGGCTTCAGCTGATTTCATCATGTTGGTATCAAGTGGCCCCCACACCAGCATCAGTATAATATTCACTTAGTCCTTACACCAATCTGAACTTTATGTAAGAGTAATATTTATGATAAGTACATACCTTTTTCCTCAATTCTAGATGCTGGTAGAAATTAATTTGTAATACAGCAACAACCTAATTACTGGACTTAATTTTCCATTTTTATTTTCCCATAAAAACAACTCACCCAATGAGACAGACTATTTCATATAGTTCCTGTGGTGTTCTTGTGACCAACTGCAATATAAGAAATAACATGCCAACTACAAAATATGTTATATTTACAAAAGGAGAGAGTATTATTTTCACAGACATAGGAAGAAAGAACAAGTCAGTTATTGACAGCCATAAGATTACATAACATGGCCAAAATGGGTTGTCAGTCCCCCCCACCCACCCTGAGCTTCAGAGCTAACTTGACACTAACCTCTTCACTGTAGCCTATCTTCATCGTGTCAAGTAAACCCTGACCCGATTCGATTGCCTCCCCCCCCCNGTAGTCACTCGCCTTGCTTTCTTTGTGTACGGTAATACACTCGGAACTACTCGGATGTCTCCGCACTCGACAATAACTATGTTGTTAGTATGGAGCTTGCGGAATCAGCCGAGGATTGCCGATTGACGGTCAACCAATCAGCGTTTTCACCAAACTTTGGTGAAAAATTTTGAAACATGGATTTGATTGGCTTATATAAACTAGGTCAAACTATTTTCGTCAGAGGTTACTTGACACGATGGAGATAGGCTACAGTGAAAAGGTTAGTGTCAAGTTAGCTCTGAAGCTCAGGGTGCCCCCACCCCTCTGTTGTAGGAAAAAATTATTTTAGACTAATTGTAAATACAGAAATATTGCAAACAAGAGCATAAGGCACAGCTGATGACATTATTTGCTGAAAACAGCCAAAACTCACCTCTACTCCCTGTGAGGCAGTCTCTGAAGTGCCCACCAGTAAGTAACATAAGGTATCAGCAATATCTGGAATGTAGAGGAATGGACATTTACACAAATACTCTCAACCAAATTATGGGCTTGCATACTACCAAGAGCAAAGGATTCCTTGCAGGACTGGTGTGGCATACTTGCATGGCATGGCATACTTAGCCAAGCATCACGGTCCCTGTGCCCTGAATATCCCGAGAATTAATTACAGCTTTGGAAGTAACTGGCTCGCCCCGCCAGTAATTATGCTGCGGGATATTCAGGGCACAGGGACCATGATTACAAGATACCGCGAATAGAAAATAGATTTTTAGAAAATAGACTTTCCATGTGAACGAGGCCTTTATAGGACAAATGGGCTGCAGACTTACTAGATTTGAGCAAGACCACGGCCAGGTCAGGGCAGGAGGCACACATCACTGCCAGCATCCTCAGCACTGTCACAAATGTTCCTGTGTTCACCACTGGGGGAGTGACCACCAACTGAAATAGATACAATGTATCCCCCATTATAAATGTAAATCCTTATCATATAACTCAAAACCACTCAAAACCACTCATAGAAGTTTAAATGGTTTAGGAATTGTAACATAATTTTGTTAAGAATGAAAGGCATGTAAAAAACTACACATCGAAGACAGAAATATTACCTCCAAAATTCGAGTTCTAAATAGCTAACAAAACTTCTTAGTGCCCAATGGCATTGAACATTGATGAAAAAGCATCTCAAATGCAATTGCAATCCACTTTAAGTGTCTCATGCTAAATAATTCATCCCCTATGCCTTTAATCCAGACCTTACCAGCTGTAGTATGTTCGTCAGCAGTCCATGTGCTGATATTTCTTTAAGTATTCTCTCATCTGTCTGGAAGTTATCCACCAGTCGGCTGAAGCACAGGCACACACTCTCCACTGACTTCTTGTCCTGATTACAGGGAAAAAAGACAGAGAATAAGTGATTACTGTGACAATTTCATACCAATGCCCCCAATTTATAAATCAGACAAACTGGGCAGTGTACACCCTCTCAGCCAATTTACTGTTCAGGTGGCAAAAGTTTTCCCAATGAACAGCAGTGAATTGCAATGAGAAACTGAGACATCTGATCTTTTCAATATCTCTTATTTATTGCCCCTCCATACACTGATGAAAGTAGATGTCTTCAGCTTCCTGAAGAGCGTATATATAACATGATAAGTTTGTCTAGTATGGAGTGCAAGGCCAGTGTTCAAGTCACAGACTGCAAAATATAGTTTCACTATACTTACATGATGACTCAGCCTGCCACTGAGCAGGGGCAGGGAATCCCTAACATAGTGGAATTCATCAGAGTTCATGTTCTGGCAGCAGTTGGCAGTGATGGCCAGTGCACACCTCTGTGCTGTGATGGAGAAGAAGTCCAGGAACATCAGGCAGGCAGCTATTCCTCCCTACAATAATATGGATACTTTAGCAGGCTCAAAAGCTTAGAGAGATTATTTATTTAACTAAATTAAACTAAGTGTCTAAAATGTGAACAATGAAAGTGCCTTCTGCTTCAATTTGTTTCCATAGATTGCCTTTAATTATTCAATATTGGTCTATTTTTCATGAATTCTAAGGTATTGTGGAAAAATATAAGATTTTCTGCTAATTTTATAAGAGATAAGTGTTCTTACAGCCTGCAAAATACTCTTGCTGTGCCTCCGGGACAACATCTCCAGGGCCGTGAGCGCCTGCTCCGCCACATCCATGCACTGAATGACCTGCAGCTTCTCCAGGAAGACTGGCACCGCGTCCACCACCACCGCAGACGAGCGCGGCAACGCCTCCATCATGTACGTGAGAGCACGGCAGGAATTGTTCATGATGTCAAAGTTGTGGTCCATCTGCAGTAAGGTGATCAGGGCCGGGACCACTTGTTTGACAGGGAAGCCAGCCAGGGTGTCTTCATTGCCCATCACCAGTAACTGGAAACGACACAGATATATAGGGCTGTTTTCACAACGGCGGATCAATATGGCCGACCCACCTGAATGCTACGTTGCGTAATCCCGCAGGAAATGTATTCCGTGTCTATTAGGAGATTGTATAACAAGCTTTTATGGAGTCACCATATTTCAAAACTATGATCAGGCCTGTAAACCAATAACACATTTCTTACTGCCACAGAATTTTTGCTCACTAGTTAAGAAATGGCTAATTTAAAGGCAGAATTCTACCTAAAACTGGAATTGCCCATACCTGACACATTTCTATGGCAGCAGTTAACTGTTGTCCTTCATCTCCCACGGCTTGCAGTCCCTGCAGCAAATGCTGGGCTTTGGTGACTGGTAGGGGAGAAAATGAAGCAGGTCAGATAGAGAAGTTTTATACAAGTGAATTTAGTATTTAAACTGAAATTTTATCACAACTGTAATTGGAGTTATCAAAAAGAAATCCTATCTCATTGCTATTTATAATCATAGATACTTATTCCAAATGTCTACCACTCTTACTTGTTCCTCCACTCATGGAGCGGTGTAGCAGCTGGTGCATTCTGGAGCCTAGAGCACCAAACAAGTGAGGGGGCAGCCCCCTGGCCTCCAGCAGGGCCTGCAGCCTGCCCATGTCTGCCTCCTCTGACTCACTCTCTGATGTGGCCATTGCTGAGGCTCCCAGGGCAGAACTGGAGGCTGAAAACATATTCAGAGATGGAGGGTTCCATACATAAATAGATATATTAATATTGAGAAGTATATGTACAAGTATATTTTCAATTCTCGTGATTAGGACCCCTCATATATTATACTTTATTCATTCACCACTTGAAATATTGAAACTATCAACAGTGAGGAAGAAATGAAAATGAAACTAATCATAAGAAGTGAACATATGGTGGTTTTTCCTGCACCAACTACTGATTTATCAAGATATTTAGCCTTTCTAAGATGAAATATTCGATAGTTTGACCTCAAAGTTCAGAGCATTGAAGTGCTGCAGGATGAACTTGTACAAGGGGCACAAATAAAGATATGAACCAAACTTTTGGCCAAAAAAGATCCACTCTCAATCAAAACCTGACCTATGGTTTTATGTCATTTCTTAAAGCAATAATAACTCTTCCTTTGAGATTCAAAATTCCGCATGAAATACATCATAAACAACGCATGGAAATATATTCTATTGTATTTTACCACTAAAACGGCCGTTATTGTAGTAAAACTAAAATCTGCGCTTGTCAATAGGGCTTACGATGCTTTTC